CAGCAGCATTTTCCTTGCAGTATGCTGTAGTTCAGGGGAGCTGGGGGGGTCACATACTTTCAGGCACTGGCAGTGGCCAGCACGGATGAGAGAGCTAGCAGGCCCCACTGACATTTTAGCATTAAAAGTTACAAAAATGAAAGCGCGCAGTGTTGAGAAATGGATTCTGCCTTCCAGTGACACTGCAGAGTAACGGCATTGGGCGTAATGAACTGTGGGGTCACCAAACTCGCGGAGATATTGTGTCCAGCTGCGTGGATCGCAGATAGGTCTGTCAGTCAGCCTCTCTTCTGGGTTCTGGGAGCTGCACTTGGTATCCTGGTGGGGGGTGGGGGGGCTGATGAGGCCTGGAAACAGATATGAGCAAGTGGAGCCTCCCGTAGGTCTTGGACTCTATCCTGATTTTTTTTTTCAACCCACCCCCCCCCACCCACCTCCCTAGCAATCCAGGACTTGGAAAGCTGGGCAGATGTCCCGTCATTTTAAGGGAGAGGAACCGGCCATTTGGACGGGGCGGCCTCTCCTCGGCGCTGACAGGGAAGCTGAGGCGACTGGGTGCCGCTCTGGATCGGCCGTGTCCACTGCTCCATTCGGTGTTCCGTATCCATGGCAACGTCTCACAACATTGCATCACAAATCCTAATGACATAACCTTTCCTTCCTGGACTGAGACCTCCAGTCATCCTTCCCAGTGCCGACCCAGACGCCCGCGACTCCCTCATCCGCTACTGCACTCCCGTTGACACTGGCTGGTGTCAGCCATCTGGTGTTCTGGGACCGTCATCTTCCGCAGTGCCATTTCAAAATTTTACCTCACCTATATTTTAGTCTCTGGGTTCCTGAGTGTGTCATTTTCTCTAGCTCTGCGATTCACCCCCCCCCCCCACCACTGCTTTCTTAATTTCCAGCTTGGTCTGTATTTTCCATTACACATCTGTACAGGGCTCGAAGCACAGCCTTAGCTCTGTCCAACAGTTTGCAGCTCCCCAGTGATTCTGCCATTGGCTTAAAATCTCCTATTTATCCGTCTAATTCGGAATGAAATGGCACAAAAAGAAAAAAATAAGTCAGAAGCTGCATTGTGTTCGGCGCAGGTTTTCATACGGGACGCTGGCGGCTGGTCTCCTTCGTGATCACGTTGCATATTCAGATGCCCGCTCGCCAGTGTCGTGCACCAGTGCTCCACTTCAAAAATAAAACGGCGTTGACATCCACCCCGGCGAAGCTCAGAAGGGTTTTAGCTCCTGAATAAAATTTGACATCACCGCCACACTGCTGGTCGATGGGCCGCCACGGCTGATTTTTAAGGGGGGCAGATCCGCGGTGGACGCTCCGAGGGGGAGATGGGGCTCTTATCAAGATCTGTGCTGGTCTTACTGCAGCCCAGTCCACTTTCAGATGGGGCAGCGAATTCTTATCCCCCTTGAAAATCACAGAAACCAATATAACAATCCAAAGTGTTTTCTGAATTAGAAGTAAGACGTCAACAAATGTACATTAACAGGCTTAGCTGATGATTTTATTGAAAGAAACATTTTAGTACATATTAGGGTGGTCACCATGGAGATATATGCATTCATAGTGATAGCCTATGCTAACGCTAAGAGTTGCAATGGATTATTATCCTCTTTTGTCAAATGTTTTATATATTCTGTGTCCTCCTCGATTTTTTCCATTTAAGTAAAATCTAAATGCTTTTTTTCCCCTTCATAGCAAACAGGAATCCAAACTTTCTTCGTACGTTCGTATGTGTAGTTTTTATTTCTTGCACTGGGAGAACAGGTGGTAATGCTACAAAAATAAGTAAATGGGCAAATATATGTGAACCCTCGAAAAAAGTCCAGGTGCCTTTAAAAATAATGTGAAAGCATCAATTTGTAACTATGTTCAATGAATTATGACTGATACAACCACACTCTGCTCCTTCAGAGAGGAGCATAAGGGTAGATTTGTTTTTCAATGCAAAAATGCCAACCTCTACATCACCATGGGAACAACTCGCCTTGGAAAAAAATAAAGGCAGCTATTTTTGAAGCTGCAATACTCAAAAATGTCCGTCTCCCCGCAAAGTAAACAAACACATGAACTAGCATGTAAAAAAATTATGCAAACAAGGAAGCTGAATGAGCATTGACATTAAAAGATTCGCCATAAATGTCGTCATTTTCAATTGCCTGTTAATAACCGGGTCACCTCTGTCACACTTTGCGACTGACACATCGCCTGGGTTTTAACAAGCAAGACATTCCAAGAAATAGAAAAAATTAGATTACTCATCGTAAAGTAAAACCGATTGGTCAGACCTGAACTTCAAGTTATAAATGAATAAAACTTATGTTGACTCCAGACTTACCTCAATTATACAGAGGTTAAGCATTTATGGAAGATGGATGTATGAAAATTAGACGTAGTCTTAAGAGATGGCAGTGTACGCACATAGCCTGTGCGATCTCTCTGAACGCTAACACGTGGCTCCATCTCTCCCTGCTGTCGTAACTGGCGTTGCCCTGTAATTGTCCTTTAGCGAAACTTTACTGACCTGATACCTCATTAACTGTCACATGATTTCTTTTGGCAGGAAGGAAAAAACTTACAACATTATCCTCACCCTGCCTCAGTGGAGATGAATAATACCACAACTGTGGCAGATTTTGAGGTTCATTTTTTTTTACTGTTCGGTCAGGTCCCTCCCTCATGCCCTGCCCTGAGATTCAGGCTCACCGCGACCCTGTATCACAAAGCTGGATTTCTTGCTTAGCCGGATAAGTTGTCGGATTTAATGTACCCCAGTTTAAATGGACTTCATCTTCGTTCACTTAAACCAGACCAGGGTTGCTGCCTGTTCCGGTTTTCCCAGGATTATTCTCATTTTTCAGCAATATTCTTTCCCGGGACACAAATTGTTCAGTTTTTTTGTGAAAATGTATATCTAATTTAAAATTTCGTAGTTTCAAATAAAACCTCACTTTCTTTCCACTGCTATTCTTTTTTCGTCCTTCACTGAATGGATAAGGCACAACCTAAGAGACTTGGGGGATATTGCACAAAACAGAGTTTCCCATTTAGCTGGATAACTTAAGCCAAACGTGAAAATTGTCCAATTGGAGGAGAGCTAAGCGACCTCCCTACTGTACTCCTACTGTAGGAATCTGCAATTACATTTTGACTAGTAAGAATTCCAGGTCCACATATCCATAATTGAGTTTTTACTAGTAAAAAATTAAAACTACATTGCAGATATATGAAATTACACATATCCAAAATGTGGATTTCAGATCTCTACAATGTAATTTTAGAGATATGTAACAAAATTTTTACTAGTGAAAACTCAATTGTGGATATGTGGACCTGGAATTCTTACTAACCAAAATGTAATTAGAGATATCTGCAGTAGGAGTTCTTACTAGTAAGAATTGAATTACAGAGCTCTACAATGTGACATTTTACTAGTGAAAATTTAGTTTAGGATACGTAAGGCAAAAATACAATGGAAGTCAATGGGAATATATGACTAGTAAAAATTTAATTATAGTGCTCTATAATATGAATTCTTACTAGTAAAAAGATCATTCTTACAAGTAAGAATTGCATTTTAGATATCTTGAATTTATATTTTTACTAGTAAAAATTGTAAGAATCTTATTTTTACCAGTAAGAATGAAGTGACGAGTAAGCCTTACACCAATAAAAGACAATTTGGCTTGCCGTACATGTCTGTGTCAAGACAAATATAGGTAAGAGTGGCAATATAGATTCCTACCTCTATTAACATAGTATATTTGCAAGAAATGGTTATTTGCCTCCACCCCAAAAAAATCAGAGTGTACCGGTTTTTCACGAATCAAAGGTGGCAACCCTAACTACCTCAAATCCAAGAAGTTATCCAGCCAAGCAAGAAATCCAGCTTCCTGAAACAGGCGCCTGGTTGAATGGTAATGCTTGGATGAGTGGATGGATGAATGGATTTTTAAATTGTAATTTCCATTTCATCTGAATTGGTTATATGATGGGTCTGCAGCACTGGGTGTTTTCGTGTTCATGTTTATGTAGTTTTAATGTGCATTTAACGTGGCAGTTCATGTGCGCTGAGAGGGAGGGGTAGCTTACAGGAGGGGGGGTAGCTTACAGGCCTCACATTTTGAGATTTGTGGGCTCCTTCCCATGTGGCTTGCAGCTGTAACTGTGCACAATACTATTGTATTCAAACATTCCCCAAACATGACCCTTTCTTTTACAATGCCAGAAAGAGAAAAACTTGAACTGTAACAATGACTATTTTCATTGGTTTAAATATTATTTTAATTCAGTTTTGCATGCTGTAAGTTTAAATGCTGCATGTTTTCTGTTTAAGTTTTTGTTCAATAAACCATTGTTTTTTTTCAATGATTTTTTTGTTTGAGTTTTCAGTCTTGATTTGCATACATGATTACTGAACTGACACATTCTTAGTTCACAATGACGAAAAAAAACATTGTAATAGGTACATTTTTTAAATGGGAAGATATATAACTAAGATATATAAGTTGATAGCCAAGGATTGAAGGGTAGTGGGTTTAAATAATTTCTATGTTCTTGCGAAATGAAGCTGTAGTTTAATTTCAGAACACATGTATTTCATGGTTATAGCTACTTCGAATCAAATTAAATGTACAACTGTAGAAAGTTCTGCATAATAGTGGTCATGGCCATGGCAGTGTATGTGGGTGGGCTTGCAGTTCTTTTGAGAAGGACAGTCAGGTGAACAAGGGTTTGAGGATCTTAACTATGTTAATGGTTTTCTTTTCTCCATTGAACCGTTCCCTCCCTGACACACTATCTCCTTTCCTTGTTGTCATGCTCCTCGAAACAGCTTCTTTATTTTTCCCTTACAGTTTGTTCTGCCTTGACCCCCGTTCATCAGCTCCGTCCCCATCAGTTCCCAGAAGGAACCCCCCCCCCCCCCCCCGCCCCAAGTGAACATTCCCTGCCCATTCCCGCGTCATGTGGTTCCGTTCGCCGTGGCAACCGGAGTACGTCTCACGCCTTGCAGCTTAAAAAAAGAACAGTAAACACGAATGCAGTATGCACCTGGCAGTGAGACGCCCACCACACGACTGACAGGCCCCAGTGTAGTCGTGGCAACGAGACTACGCACAGGGGCAATCAATCGACGGAGCGCGCCTGAGCCCAGCCGACGTCTTGTTTGTTCTCGAAAGGTGCGTCTTTTGTTTTCTTTTCCCGTTTGCTGTTTTCCTCCCCAAAGACGGCTCCCTGTTTTCCAGGGTCTGATCATTCCTGAGATGCACAAGCCCCGGCTTGTCATAGACGCAGCGTGAAGGTTCTTTTTCACACAAAGCCATAAAACACATATGCAAAATATGTGGCTGCCAGGAGGATGTTAGCACTGCGAGGATTATGCAGCCTGTCGCAGGATCTGTTGCTCTGTGCGTGAGCACGCTGTGATTCTAGTATTGAGCTGAAATGGCCATAAAACAAGGGCTTGGCCACTTTGGTGGGGTTGTAATTGATTTTTTATTTTTTTTGTTACATTTAAATGGAACTTCAATGACAAACACAGCAGAGACTGGTGGTGACTGTGATGAATTACGATCAACTGTCTGGAAGGCAATGATTTACTCTGGAAACAAAATGAAGGTATTGTCATGAATCATCAGCTAAAAGCACGTACACTGTGAGAGGCACATGGTAGTTTGTACTGTTCTTCTAGGTGCTCTCAGTCCATTATGAGTCTATATCTCTGCTTCACTGGTGACTTTTCTGCTAGACAGTTCCAGGTCCTTGCCGACCCCACATACTATCCACATTTTCCTTTCCGGCTTTTATGTTTTTTTGCTCCCTGCCTGATGTATGGACACTTTGCACAGTCAGTAACAAATATTTATGCTTTGATTCTTGGTCAGGTACTATACCAAGAACACTTTGTGACCACATCATTTTCCCCCCCAAGCCAAATTGTTTTCTAAACATTTTAATATGCTATTAAATTCTAACGAAATTTTGCAAATCATTTTTGTTGACAGGAAAAGAATGCTAAGTCTAATATAGAATGTGGTTTCTTTCGCAGTCAGAAGACGTAGATCAGAGGGGCTGGTGTCTCTACAGCCGTGTCTCCCAACCTGGTCCTTGAGGACCCACAGACAGTCCATGTTTTTGCTCCCTCCCAGCTCCCTGTCACCCAGTCCATGTTTTTGCTCCCTCCCAGCTCCCTGTCACCCAGTCCATGTTTTTGCTCCTTCCAAGCTCCCTGTCACCCAGTCTATGTTTTTGCTCCCTCCCAGCTCCCTGTCACCCAGTCCATGTTTTTGCTCCCTCCCAGCTCCCTGCAGGTCCCTGAGGACTGGATTAGGGCTGCTCTGCCCATCGTGTTTGAGTGTGTCTGCAATCATGTGCCCTGGGATAGCATAGCATTCCACTCTGTCTGTCCCATGCCAAGCCTCCAGGCTTACAGTGACCTGGCAGAGGATAAGCAGCTATGGAGAATGGATGGATGGATGGATGGAGTTTATCATAATGCATGTATATTATATAATGCCGGTGCAGTGGGTAACTGAGCTCCCTGCGTGTGGCGCTTGCATGTCCTACTGCTGCTGTGCAGCTTCGTTTTGGGGACTCTGGTCTCCGCCTGCAGCCCAAAGGCATGCAGTTAGGCGAATTGGCAATATGTGCATGTGTGTGTATGCATGTGTGTGTGTGCGTGCATGTATGCATGTGTGTGTATCTGTCCGTGTGTGTGTGCATGTGTGTGCGTGTGTGTGTATGCATGTGTGTGTGCATCTGTCCGTGTGTATGTGTGTGTGCGTGTGTGCACAAGCTCTGTGAATATACTGGAATATACTGGCACCCCCCCAGACCATCCCCTGCCTTGCTCTCCATGCTGTCCGGGACCGACTCCAAGCCCCCTGCATCCCTGTCCACCATAACTATTTGGAAGACGGATGGGTGAGTATATTTCTTATTAGATGTACCCTAACGACTAAGCTTTAAAAAAGATACAAATGTTGTCCTCCACTAAAAAAGCTTTATAAATCTCACGCTCAGTCTTTTGGGGCCACTTCTACTTTTAGGTTTTGTTCCCCGTCGGTGATGTTCGTCAGGAGCTGCCTCCGCTGACTAACTCCGCTGTTCCCTCCCGTGGCTTTGCTGATTTACCGTTGCTGTTCTACAGAAACGGGGTAAACAGCCTTCAGCTCGTTGAACTCGTTCTCCTCATCATCTAGGACAGCGGTCCAGCCCTCACACTTGGCCGTTCATCGTCCGCCGGCCACTCTCCCATCTCTTCCATCTTCATAGCTGCCTGTTGATGACTTTTCCTTCAGCCGCTAAAATGACTCACGCTCTCTGCTGTCGTTCTAACAGGCCTCTTTCTCCCACAAGCTTTTCCAAATCTACACTGACTCATGCCTCTTTCTTCCTACTTTTACTGCATTTGGTTCCCCCTGCGATTCTGAGGTTTGCACTTCACTCTAGGGCCATAAAACACAGCCTCACCATCAGCCCCGAGTATCCTGCACCCTCTGCTGTTCTCAGCCCCGTTTTCATACCAATTACGTCCTTTCTGCTGAACGCTTCCCTCCATTCAGGCTGCTAACCTTCAGATTTCAGAATAGCTTTTGTTAAACGGCCGCTCTTTTTGACCCCACAGATCGCTGAATTAACAGCTTGTGTGTTTATAGATCTTCTTGGCCTCCCTGTAACCTTTTCTGCAAGCCGTGCATCACGGTCTTGCACACGTTGCAAATGCATTACTATTGTTATTAGTTTGTTTGGCCTACCTTTATTTAAACTCATGAAAGGTGACAGTAGCTTGCAGAATGCCACACATTTGTTATGCTAAACTCTTAGCGACTTAGTGAGCCTGGAAAATGTTTGTTTCATTTCTCTGGCCCGATGCGAATCGCTCCTTTTTTTCCCCAGACTCTATACTCTCATACTGAAATTTGTTTTCCTCTTTCGATTCCCACATGGCTTTTTTTTTTTCTTGTGCTCTGCATAACTCCTTGTCCAGATTGCGCCTCTGCTGGTTTCCTCAGCTTTCCTCGACTCCTTATTCCTTCTTCAGCTTGTCAGCTCTCCTTTGATTGGCTCGTGCATCTCTGCCATCTTCCTGTTTATTTACTGGAAATGCTACTTTAGCGCTTGGCGGAAAGTGCAGCGTTCCGCTCCGCTTTTATCACTACTCTTTTAACTTTTTTTCTCCAGTGAATCACTCACCTAAACTTTTTCACTCCTTGCTTTATACCTGCTTCCTGCATCCTACGGTGCAATACGTAACCTAGCCGGTAGTGAACCGTCTGCATCCGTCACTCCCCCCACGACATTGAATTTTTATTTTTTTTTACTAACTTTTAATTCCCCCTTTTTTGTCACCTTTATTTTTTTCTTTCCTTGCTGTCAGCCATTAGTAGCTGGATTTTACCCAGAAATGAGTAAATATGCTCCACCATTACCGCAATAAATACTTCGCCTTTGAAGTTGCTATTTAATCGTGGTAATTTATACCCATCTTTCACTTAGTGGAATACTGGGGCATCCTGAGCGAAGTTGTGCTGTCCGACAGGCTAACTGGCCACCTCTGCTGTTAACGAACCTGCCTGTTAGCCCCCTTCTCCCCTTTTCGTTTTATTGTGTCATAATGGGGCCTAAAGTTGTTTGTAATAGCAGTGCCTGGTGTCGTAGTTCAGTTAGAAAGAGAAAGAAAAACAGCCCATCTGAGCGTGGATTGGATCACTTTTCACTTTACTCATTTCACTGAATGTAAAAAAAAAAATGAATGTAATGAATAAACAAAAACGAATCCATCTCCGTCACACTTTATTTAAAAAAAAAAAAGATTTTTCTGAGTAAACTACTAATAACCCTATAACCATCAGGGTTCAATAACTGGAGCCAATCGTGTCTTTTGACAGTAAGAGGTGGTGCACACTAGGAAACGTCTGTCCTGTACAAGAATCACAAGCTGAGACTCACAGGGAGTCACTAAAGAAGCTTTCACACCAGAGTTCCGGAACCTGGTTCCTGGTTCCTGGTTACAAGTTCCCGGACCACGCGAAGGGCCTGTTGTTTTAGTGTAGGTGGGATCCGGAGAAGTCCGAGTGCCTGAGGAATCTGTCATGGTGCGGAGAAAACTCGGAACAAACAAACAATAGGACGGTACAGCGGTTCAGTGCTTAGCACCGTTACCTCACACGTTCAGAGGGGGGCTCCAGGACCCGGGGCCCCTATCCAGGATAGGCTGCGGGAAGATGGATGGATGTATCAATGCCCTTCAATGCATTAGCACCTTATCCAGAGTGAATCTGAGCCGTGTGCCCTATGCGGCCTGGGACAGGCTCCAGGGCCTCCACAACTCCGGCCATGAAAAGTGGTTTGGAAGAAGGATGAATAGTAGTCATAATAAATTTTGGCCTTAATAATGTAGCATCTGATTCCACTGTCATCTCTGGGAAAAAAACCTATACATTCAGTGTAACTTATTCAGATTTTAATTCCCAGAACACCAGAGAATGGTTCTAAGCTACTGGTAGAATAAATAAAAAAATTAAGGTATTATTTAAAAAAATAATAATGTATTATTATATGAATGTAACCGAAAGAAAAGAAAAATCGACACATAAACAAGATCTGAAAGATTAAGTAATTCCTCATCATTTCGTGATATTATCGGGATGATAGCAGAGCCAGAAATGGCCGCCGTCTGTCAGGTATAACATTTCTAGTTTCATGTATCTTTGATGGGCTGGAAATGATATATGTTTTTCCATAAGGGTAAGTGAAGAGGAGTCTGGACTGGGGTCATCACGCTATCCCCCCACCCTCCCCATCTGTAACAGAGTACCTTTATCCTTGGTAACCCAAGCCTCAATTCAACCCGCACAAGAGGGCAATAAAAATAATGTGATGGACAATGGAATAAGCCTTTTCTCACATTCCAAAACACACTACTTGGAAAGAATAATACTCACTGACAACAACAACAAGAGTTATATATATACATATATTAAAAAAAAACCCACAACCGTCAGAAGGATCAGCAGGAGATAGGTGGACGTACGCCTATGTTGTAATAACCCATTAATGTTGTTATAGTGAACACGTAAAAGTTACTTCTATTACTATAGAAACCATTCATTTCAAATAATTAAATCTTTCAGCAGATTTTACAGTATAAAAGCATAAATTACACCGTGACATTTTGATAGTTATACCTAATTGCAGTGTGTATATGAAAGCAGACATGGCAAAGCCTGAGACTGCAGTGCGATTCTTGCATTAATGAGGGAAATACCCTAATACCACAATCCGGGAACTGCATGCTTTCCATACTATTATCGTTTGCCTGCTGCTGAACCGCTGATTACCTTAAACAAGCATATACAGAGTAGTAAATTAACTGCTTATTTCCACACTTTGCTGGGTGATACTGGACGAGTTTCAGTCGGTCCAGCATTTCTGCTGTCAACCTCTGGCTTTGGGAGAAGCCAGCCGTCATAATTAGGGTATTTATCGAAGCACTAGAATCTTACATTTAGGTTTATGCATGGATGCACATAAACTTGAATCCAAATATTTGTATTTTCTTCATTTTATTTAGCAGACACTTAATATCCAAAGCGACATGCAGGGTCAGAATCTCTGGAGCAACTGGGGGCTGAGAGCATAGCCCAGTAGCTCGGCGGAGAAAGCAGGCCGCCGTTTTTGGGATTTGAACTGGTCACGCACAGCATCCTGACCCCCTGAGCCATACGCCTCCCCCAGACGGCCCTCAGGCTTCATCTAAAGTCTGATTCTCAAAAAATGGTCAAAATCAAGGCTTGAATGAAATGTTCATAGATCAACTCAGTCAAGTCAGTAGAAGGAAACGGGTGTCTTTATGCAGAGCAGACATAGGCAGTGACACTGCCAGTGCATACTTACCCTCCCTCCACTGGGAAACACCCTCCCTTCTCCTTCTTCTCTTGGCTGCTCCCCTTAGGAGTCGCCACAGTGGACCATCTGTTTCCATTTCTTCCTGTCCTCTGCATCTTCCTCTTTCAGACCAGCCGCCTGCATGTCCTCTCTCACCACATCCATAACCCTCCTCTTTCTCCTTCCTATTTTCCTCCCGCCTGGCAGCTCTATCCTCAGCATCCTTCTCCCAACACACCCAGTATCTCTCCTCTGTACATGTCCACACCAACACAATCTCGCCCCTCTGGCTTTATCTCCAAACCATCCAACCTGAGCTGCCTGTTGCTAATCCTGTCCGTCCTTGTCACTCCCAACGCAAATCGTAACATCTTTAACTCTGCCACTTCTAGCTCTGCACTTATCCTTTCTACACGAGGTCAGTACAAGACCTTCATGACACCTTGAAAAATCAAGTGCTAGATTATTATATTGTCATGTAGGGGCCAGGAAGACAGTATTATCTGTTGCCCATTAGGTAGTCGTACAGAGCTGACTGAGCTATTCACTGTCCAAGTTCTGGTTTCACCAACGAGATTTCAATCCATAACCACAATCACCTAGTCAAATGTCTACAATCCTTCAGAACGGCCTGTCTCTGAAATGCAAGATTAAAATGGACTATGTATTTATGAACATATCAATTGTTCACTATTGCTGTTTGTATATTGGATAAAATATTAATTAATTAAATTGTAACTTAGAACACGGTGAATAGGTACAGTGTACCTAAATCAGTGCCGGTCGAAGCCCTTCTGGTATCCTAGGCAATCGCTACCGCAGCGCCCCTCGTCCGACGAATTCGGCGCCCACTCAGAAGATTACGTCACGTAATGGGTTGACCGGCACCTCAAGGTGAACTGGAATGGTTATCTTAAATTACTATTAGCCAAAAAAGGGGTCAAACTGGAACAATGATACATGCAGGGGCATAAACGTCTCAAGTAAATGAAGGTAAAGGCGAAGCGTCAGAATTCATTAAAATACTCAAGAATCTGTATTTACAAAATTACCGATACCACACAGCGCGGAACACTGCAGTACAGACGGCAGACAATTCCACTCTGCAACTATCCAATGAGCGCCTCGGGTTGCACAGTTATGGAGAATGGGCGGGTGCAACGCTAAACATTGTCCAATAGAAAGCGGTAAGAAGTTTGATTGACAACACCCAGCCAGCAACGCAATATATCGTCACCATATTCAAAAATGTCTGTTTAGGAAGGGAAGCATACATGCATGCGAATATAAAAATGCTACTATACTGTTTCGCATTGTCTCCGCCTAGTTAACTGAAGACGTGGGTATCTCATGTGTGTTTAGCTGGGATCGCGGTTGGAGAAACCTGAAGACTTGTCATGTCCGACAAGTGTCCCAAACTGAAGCTGAAGAGGAAGAAGTGTGCAGCTCAGGAGTGCAGCTTTGTGACAGAGCGCAAAGCCCCGCGGCAAAGCGCCTCCCAGGCCGGCCATGCCGGTGCCGCGGCGAGCACGATGCCTGCCGCACAGTAAGATCATCACGGGCTGCACGGTTATCCTTATACTGCAGGAAGCGGCGGATTAGGGTAGTTAGTGTTACACGGCTTATATATCGGATAGCCGGCTCCTTTTGCAGTGGGGTGCAAACAGATCGCGCTGGGCTAGAGCAGCCGTCTGACCCGATAAGGTCCGGGAATCCGGGCACATGAGATCGTTACGGCTGTGAAGCCAACGCAGTGTCACTTTGTGTCGCTCCGCTTCTTTCTTAACGGATGTTCATAACGTCAAAGAGTAAACAAAGAAACTGAATACATTTTAAAATGTATCCAGCTGGGACGAATTCCCTGCTTTAACGGCTGCTAACATTACATTAATCCGTTTGTTAACAGTGCCACCAATTTGTTTCGGGACATATTAATAATCAAAAACGATTTTTGGTTGGTATAACTGCAGGAACAATCCTGGGGGAGGGCCTATAATTTTTATGTTCACATAGAGAACTTCTCTCCCTTGTAGTGATGCATGGTGGGATAAGGCCGACCTCCCGGGGATGCAGCAGCTGTGGGCATCTGTCTTGAAGGCTGCTGTCCCGCAGCTGGGGCAGGACATCTGGAAAGCTGTGCCCGTCCTTCCTGCGGCTCCTCCGCCGGTGCGTCTGCGTTTCCAGCTTTTATTTCCCTCTGACGCAAGGTGGCCACTTTGGAAGGGAGCCCATCTGAGATAAGATGACATCGTTGGGAGGGCTTGAGGGGAGGGGAGGGGTGGGGGGGGGGGGGGGGTTGAGAGGCTGACAGCTCTGGGACACACACAGGAGATAACCTGATCACTTATACAGTTAGCTGATGCAAACTCGCATTTTAATAAATTATTCATTTCGGGGACTGCTTCGGCCGGAGAACATTATCTCTCGCGGCAGCGGGGAAGGTGGCGAACGTGGCACAGTCAGCAGGGGGGGGTGATGAAACGGCTGCTGCTGTGGGGCTACATTCCTCAGACCTGTCCTTCCTTCCCCTTTAAATGCATGTGCTGTTTCTGTCTGTTTTTTTTTTTTTTAACCAGGGGGGGGGGCGGGGGGGGCGGCGGTGCTCCTGCTGTGAACTTTGTCGGCCTTTAAAAGAAGTAATTTTGTTTTTATTTTCTGCCGTAGAAGCCGTCAGACGGCGAGAGTGCTGGGGGCCGGTGGTGCTGCCCCCTCGCCGACGAGGTGCCTCCCTTCCCCCCGGCCGTTAATCCGCATGTCCGCCCCGTCACCAACACGGACATCTGCACGCCCAGCAGTCCTCTGCGCCCGGCTGATCCCGGGCCAGATCCGAGGAAAGACGGGAGCGCGCGGCGGGCCTGCGATCCTGCTGGCCGGCAGGTGCGAGGAGGAGAGATGGCGGGGGGCGGCGTCCGTCTGGACACGGCGATGGGGCGGCGGCCCCCGGCCTTACGGGAGACGGCGGCGGCCGTGGGCGGGAGCCCAGGGACCGCAGGGGCGGCCGCGGGCGAGAGATACTCGTGTGGCATGACTGAGAGCGGCCCGGAGACGATCCCTACGGGGCTGCGGAATGAGTCCGAGTGCCTGGGGGCTGATGGGAATCTGAGAGGGGCCGCCGGCTTGGCAAGCTGCCCCCTGTGCACCATGGCGTTCCCTGCCGGGTAAGGCTGCTCCGGAGAGATGGATCCGCTCTCATTCCGTCATTGCCAGCCTGATGCCTCTCTCTCTCTCTCTCTCTCTCTCACACACACACACAGTCCACATATTCATATCTTTGTGGGGACTCTCCATTCATTTCTATGGGAAAAACCGTAATCCCAACTATGACAACCGTAACCCCTACCCAGCCCTAACCTTAACCATAAGTAGCCAAATAAAATACTCATACACACACACACACACACACACACACACACACAGAAAGGACAGTGCTTTATTTCCTGTTCAAAACAATGAATCCTTTTGGAAACAGACCTTGTAGGCCTCATCATGGCTCAGTGCCATGACTCTCGCGCTCTTTCTGCGCCTGGTACGTTAATGGAGCATCGTTTATGTAGCGCCTTGCCTCCTTGCTCTCTTTGCACGGCCTGTAAGCGGCTACTTTCATATGACTAATACACAATTTAAATTCAGACATAAACAAGCTCGATTCGCTGACCCTGTAACACTATCCCATTAGCCTCTCTATCCAGGAGCTATTCGGGATACATTTACATGCGGGTTGCTCCTATTCCACAATGATTTACCTTAAATACCATAAACAAGGCCGGGGCAAGTTGCCGATGACGGCCAAGCAGCTGGGTGAATGAATGTCAGCGTGAAAATCAGTGGTGACTAAGCATTTTGGGGGATGGTTTCTGACAGAATGAAGTTAGCGGTGTTGCTTGGCTAGGCTCCCATGACGGTTCCTGGTGCTGGCACTGTTTCACACTCTCCCAGTTTTATTCAGCACCGAATACACGGCATGCACCATCCTCGTTCCCTATCGGTGAAATGATAAAATGGCTGATCAGAACCCACCTTACCTGTGGCGGGTGACACACTATGGGTTTGGCGAATTGCCTTTAGGCAGTGTATCTCAACCCAGTCCTCCAGAACCCACATTTCTGCTCCTTCCCAGCTCCCAGCCCACCTGTACCCGGTATGCGGTGGACCCAGAAGGACTGATTTGGGAAACATCGCCTTAAGGTTTATGTCAGTTTGTTTAGCGCCGTTTGCCGATACATACAGAAAAACCCACCGTGGTCCCGGTTTTCACACATGAAATGCATTTAGATGAGGTCTGGGCAATTATTTTCTGAGGTGGGCCAAATCCAACAGGGGCCATGTCCCATGTCAGCTGTAATAGAGGGTGATATTTCTGGGCGGAGGCCTTCCTTCTACATGCCATATGGAGGTAGCTGTCTATTTGTGATTCTCCATGGCACTTGTCGATACATCAAATTTTACCATTTTTTTTAACGATTGTGTCGGCCAGTAAATAATATCTCTGTGGATCACATGTGGCCCAGGTCTAGTCAGGTAAATTACAGTCATGCGGACATCATAAAGTCTGTGGATTTAAGAACATCCTTCACTGCTGTCTCACAGATGGTTGTTCATGCTTACTGTGTGATCTTTCTCATGCTGCAGAATCATGAGGAATGTAGGAAGTATCTGACATTTTAGTCAGTCGCTTCAAGTGTGTAATTGCATTTGTTTGGCTCTGTTTGTTTATTTTTGTCTGACATGATGAACGATTGTGCTCCGTTGCTTGGACTGAATGCGGGTCTGCTTCGCGGTGCATCCACACAAATAAACAGCACAGAAGCTGGCGCAGAATTTGGTAGAATAAAATATTTATAAAGATCTGAGCAGTGGAGCAAAGGCGGGAGAAATTTTAAGGCCCTGCCCCCTTACAATAATGCTGTATGGTGATTGGCTCTACAGAACGCCATTCATGTTCTGTTCCAGTTCACGTCTTCAACACAGACATGACTGCAATGAAACAGGCTCAGATATTGGTCACAATTCTATGAATCACTTCAGGATATTTTATAAGTAACGTTTTGGAGGATATTACATCCTTTTTGTTTTTTTTTGTTTTTTTGCTGTGGATTTAGTTTGTTTTGCTTGTTCAGTATTTTACATACTCTTCTTATATTTTACTTGCCTTTAACCTGGGGGAGAATTTTTCTGTTAAATGGTCTGTATGTACAGGACCAATGGTTTGTTAATGTACATATTTTAGGCCCTTGTAAAGTCTATGCAATTAATTCTGAGGTTTTCTTACTTGAGAACTTATTTTATGTGGCTAACTATTTTTACCAGGTAATCAACTACTGTACCTTAAACTTCCTGGCTAGCAGGCATTTAGTTTTTCTCTTTTTTCTGTTTGATCATCTTCCTAGCAATCACGGCCATTTAAAGCTGGATCTGCCGCTTTTGTGTGCAGTTCAATGCGTTTTGAAAGGCGTAATTAGCTTCACGGAGACGGCAGCCGGCACGTTCCAGCGCATAAACACCTTCCCCGCGAGAGCGCGTCTGCTCCGGCTGCGCCCGCCGTCGACGCGCTTTGTTCGCTGGCAGCGCGCTGCGATCTCGGCCGCCTCTCGCGCTCTTCAGCCGCCGCGCCCGCCAGCTGCAGATGTGCAGGATCCGATGCGCTTTAATGACGCAGGCAAGGCGGGAGGTACTCCGTTTATGTGGAGTGAGTTCCTGCGGTGGCTGGGCCATGTTTTCCAGTACCCGTTTCTGGGGTGTTGTATAAGACGACCAATGTGTTTCTTTTTTCCTTTTGGTTGCGGAAGGGGGGGGGGGGTGATTATATATCTTTTAAGTCATTCCCCCAATTTTTACATAAACATTTAGGAATGGAAACACTGATCAGAGTGTGACTTCTGAGCATGAATGACCGACGTGTCACTCAGGATCGTCGGTGCTAAATAACTAAATAATCACAGTGAGTGTTTCAGTTTAACATCCTGGGTTAGGGCACTGAGACGGTCATTAGGGCAGCGCTGACCTGATATGACCCCGTATACCATGTCAGCCCCAGAGTGGCGCTCCTGTGTCTCCTGTATCTCTACGGGAGAGTCACGTCAGCGATTTTAAGCAGCTGCCTGACGTAATTATCATTGAGTATCAGGTGAATCCATTCCTGCAGTAACAGGGTTATGGATGAGGCAAACTGTATTAAGACCTAGGTTGGTCGCCCCCTTCTGGGTGTTACCTCAGCTCATGGAAGTTATACTTGCATAAGTAATCTTAGGGCGGAAGGGAAAATGATTGGTTCAGACAGATAACCAATCAGATTGTAGAGGAGGTGGGTTAAAGCAATTAGAGGAGGCGGGACCAACCAATCCTCTAGTTGCTTGGACCCACCTCTACAATCTGATTTGTTATCTCTCTGAGCCAGTCATCTTTCCTTCTGCCTTCTGGCCTGAATCATTAGGAGTCTTGTGGATTTTCGCTGAAGGTGCTTAGATCTACCCTCTTCTGTGGGATCTGTTATAAAGGTAATGGAGAAGGTATGAAAACAAACGTCCAGCATGTGAACCGGAGCTGGTCGTACAGTCACTGTGAGGAGCCCAGAGGGCCGGGGTCCTCGCGCGGTAAGAGGCGCGGCCGGCGCGGCCCGAACAAGGCTGACTTTGTGGCGGCAGCACGGGGCTGTGAAGGCAGGCCGGGCAGCACGAGCAGAACCAGCCCGAGCCACACGCCTTGGCCAGGGAACACAGCACTGTGCAGCCCTCTGGCGCAGACACCCGTGGACAATGGGTCCCCTTGTTTCCCAGAAGGAAGCGGGAGATCACTAGTTCCACGGAATGGAGATTTGGGGATTTGGGCTGGGGGGGGGGGGGGAAGAGTTACTTTACCGCTTCTGAAAGTGAAGAGTCCCCACATCCCACCCACCCCCCGTCAAACTCATCCAGCCATCTGGGTGCGGGCGGGCGTTCTTGGAAAGTACATTATTGAAAATCTGCTCTAATTTCATTCCCCCCACCACATCCCGTTCGCCTGTCCTGGAGCGGGCCTCCTGCCTGCGTTCTGCCCTTCGACTGAAGGGTTGGGCGAGACTTCGGCAAGATAAGCATGACGTGTGGGGGAGGTACTCAAGAGCCCAGGAACAGAGTGTGCACAGCTGCACCTGGTGGAATGCTGGCTGTAGGCATGTGGTGGCGCACACTACCCGGGATCGCCAGCAGGTGGCGTGGCAATCAAGGAGCCGTGTGGTTTAAGTCCTCCCTTCTGCTCTACCATTTCAGCAGTAGAATTATGCAAACATTCAGCAAGTTAAAGAATTTGTGCTTGTTTTCGAAGAGACTGATTTTACCATTTGCTCCACAAATCAACTGCAACCATTCGATTCTTGGGCGCCAACTAATATCACAAATCCATGTTTGGAGTCATCTGTTGCATGTGCATCTACACCAGGGGTCTCCAACTCCGGTCCTGGAGAGCTACTATCCAGTAGGTTTTCTATCCTACCCGGCTTCTGATGAGCCACACCTGTTCTCAGGTAAATACCAGGAGCAGGTGTGGCTCATCAGAAGCCAAGTGGGACAGAAAACCTACTGGACAGTAGCTCTCCAGGACCGGAGTTGGAGACCAATGATCTACACAGACCTTTTCCTTTTTGAGTAGGTTAAAAGGTGGTAGCCCTGCTTAACCATGATTGCCGACTACTGCTGTGTCATGCACTCCAGTGCAGAAATCATGGTCACTTTTTTTTTTAAATTGGAAATATACCTCTGAGATATACCACCATTATTAACGGTGCTAGGGGCACTGTTCTTCCACATGCACACGTTTACTATGATCACATGCGATCTGTGAATTATGTAATTCCTCCCCCCAAATAATACTGTGTCAGTCTGTATACAGCATTCACGACTGTGATGTGCTTTTCTCCAGGTTCAGCCAGATGGACTGTGACGGACACCTCGCCAAATGCCTCTCCGAGATGAATGAAGACGTCACATGGTGATCCAGTCTTTCGGTTGATTCATTCTCCCGTTCTGCTTTCTCTATGCCAATCTAAAGATTGCGTTTGCAAGTATTTCAGTTCATTGTGTCTTTACTGTATCACTGGCATTGTAGAGTGTGGAATATGTTGTTGTCAATGTCAAACATGGAGTCAGACAGCAAAGTTGTTCGGAAACTGAACATCTTACCAAGAAGATTCAATTACCAGGTTGGAGCCATGGAAGGTTATTTCAAACTGGATCACATCAGTAGACGTTCCACTATAAAATGGGTACTGAACTGGAAAATATTATCTGTACAATCTGCTCTTGAATGTCTGGTGGACAGCTAAATGCATCCAGATGAAAAAAACGTGAATCTATACATGCATGCCTTGAGTCTTCTTGGAGTGCGATTCTGTTTTCCCCGACGACTCATTTTTACCCATGAAGCCCTTTCCTGTCTGCACACCTCCTCAATTCTGCTTCTCCTGAGATTACGGATCTTCTTGGAGCACCATGCTATGTACTGAAAGCCTGTGCTATGTGGAAGCACTGACCTTCCAGAGAAGCAGGACCCTTCGTCAGGCCGGAGACTCAGGCCAGTGCAGCATGGATCCTGAACTCAGACGACAGATGGCCGTGTACTTTCCGCTTTGTGTTCCAAGCCCTTCTCTTGGTCTCTCTGGTGTGGTTGCCTCACAAAAAGTTCATCCAGTGCCTGTGGGTTCCTCCAAAATCGCCACAGTTGCATCATGTGGCAATGCGTCATGTGGCAATGTAGCTGCCGCTACATTGCCACATGATGCTAATAGGTGCAATCGCCAGATATCCTTGACTGTGATAAATGAGTAATTGAAAGAATGCAGGGAGATCCATGGACCCCTGAAGTATGTGGTAATACTTGCATGACCCAAAAGAGACCAAGCAGAACCAAACAAATGTCAGAAAGGAAAACCACAGTTATGGGGGTACTGGGAAGAACCTACTACTGGTTTAAACACGGCCGTTACCATTGGTTGTAAAAGTCTGAGAAGGCATTAAAGAACGCGTCATGTTCCATATTAACACAATTTTCAGTTTTAATTTCTAATGTGCAAGATGATTATCCTCTGTATTAGTTTATTTGTCTTTACAGTTAAAACTTTGCTTAACTAACTCAGAGGCAAGAAAAATACAACTCACACCCAAAAAAACAAATTAATTACAATGAACGTTTACCGATTTACAAGTGTTACCTAGGATGTTTAAGACTAATCTTGTAAGACCAAACGATGCCATGTCCGACACCCAGTGCTGTCCCGTTGAAGATTGATTTTTCTCTTTACATATTTATAAAACAAATGCTTCAAATATAAAATTTTTCCCTGTAGCACACTGAGAAAACATACTTTGCTTTGGACTTTAAACACAAAAAATGCAGAGAACCAGAGTTGCAGTATTTGGCAAAAACACGCATCTTCGCCACCTTAAAAACCACGTTCTCTTAAGTCAGGTGCCGATCCAAGATACTGGGGGTTTTCGCTTATTGCAGGGGTGGCTCCTTGGGGCCACAGAGGGCCTCGTATCTAGAGTGTGGATCTACGTGGCTCATGGACACTAAGAGGCTTCCTTCAGTCTGACAGGAGAACCCAGGATAGACTTCTGGTCACAGCTGTAAATATTTACACCGATGCCTCCAGCAGTGTCAAAGCTACAGTATCTGACTGTCTGCGAATGTGTCCACATGTTTGAAGCAGGTTCAATTATCTCAACGGCACATTCATACCAGTCATTAGCACATTAGCCATACAGAGCATTGTAAAAGAGATCTGTTTGACGAGCAAGTCAAACAATTCTTTAAAATGTATTACACTCTTGTTCATTATGTAATACCTATGACTGTGTCCTGAATGGTCTTTGTGTCAGACTTAATCTAAATCCTTACCATTTTATACATTATGTAACTTGCCCTTTATCTCCAAAGGACCTGTAAAGTATAAAGGTGTATCCTAAATTCAAAGGAACAACAGCAATCCAGTTTTAGAAGGTTTTCTCTCTGCCGTCAAGTACCACTGTAGAAAAGTTGTGTGATATCACAGTAGCCTGTTAAAAATGAGCTCCCAAAGTCACAGGGTTGCTTAAACAGGGAACCACCCGCATATGTATTACTGGTGATTAGCCCTGTATGCAGAGATCATGTGTTTTTGAAGGCATGTAATCAAAACGATTAAAGCTTGGCCCTGTAATCTCTGCCAGCTGCACTATCTGGTGCGGTCGCCTTTGTCGCTCTCGAACGACCAAGCCCCATTGGCTAAATGAGTGGGGACGGATCTAATTAATCCTATTATAGTATTATCATATTAATATAGGGCAGATTTAATCAAATAATTTGCATTGAAGATTTTCTCCTTCGGGAAGGGGGGGCAGGCTATGTAAACTCTAAACTTAACTTTAAATTGTAAGTTCATTTTGCAGATTTGTGGTATTCATGCTCCTTGTTCAGATGGAATGGGGGGGGCAGGGTGTGGTTATGCATTACAGGACCTGGGTTCGGGTGATGCGGTGAAATGACCTGGTGGCTGCCTGTCCCGCATTTCGGGGGGGGGGGGGGCCCAGTGCTCCGGGCTTTGGGGGGGGGGGGGGGGGGGTGATTATATATCTTTTAAGTCATTCCCCCAATTTTTACATAAACATTTAGGAATGGAAACACTGATCAGAGTGTGACTTCTGAGCATGAATGACCGACGTGTCACTCAGGATCGTCGGTGCTAAATAACTAAATAATCACAGTGAGTGTTTCAGTTTAACATCCTGGGTTAGGGCACTGAGACAGTCATTAGGGCAGCGCTGACCTGATATGACCCCGTATACCATGTCAGCCCCAGAGTGGCGCTCCTGTGTCTCCTGTATCTCTACGGGAGAGTCACGTCAGCGATTTTAAGCAGCTGCCTGACGTAATTATCATTGAGTATCAGGTGAATCCATTCCTGCAGTAACAGGGTTATGGATGAGGCAAACTGTATTAAGACCTAGGTTGGTCGCCCCCTTCTGGGTGTTACCTCAGCTCATGGAAGTTATACTTGCATAAGTAATCTTAGGGCGGAAGGGAAAATGATTGGTTCAGACAGATAACCAATCAGATTGTAGAGGAGGTGGGTTAAAGCAATTAGAGGAGGCGGGACCAACCAATCCTCTAGTTGCTTGGACCCACCTCTACAATCTGATTTGTTATNGCTCTTTCTCCTGGAGTGATGTCAGAAGTTATACAGGAAGGAAAAAAATGGGGCCCCATTGCCTCAAAGTCATGCTGCTGTCAAACTGCAGTGGCGTAAGTGAATGAGAATCGCAAATCAGAACAGCAGTTATAAAACAAACAAGCAAACGCAAATGCAATGAGTCCCCCCAAGTCATCACAAATCAGACATGGTTATACAAAGGAGTTGGGCATTTACCAAACATAATGCATCAAATAATTTAGATACACCCCACAAAAACAACATAGCTACACATTTTTACATCACCATCCTCATCATCATCATCTTCATTATTACATCAACATCCGTGTCTAAAACACATCATAGTCCCAGTTCTCTATGGACGACACTTTTAGCAATACTTCTAAATGTAAAATGTCATGGGCCATAAATCACAGCTGTACTCTGATTGGCTGGCGAGATACTAGCGGTGTGTGATTTTAAACCAACGTAGATTCCAGTGGAGACGGGAAAACAGGGAAGACTCCTGACAATTGGCCCGTCATTCACACCACCAGGGCTCGAAAAACAAACGCAGGGCTGTGTGGGGAGGGCAAACTGTTCTAAAAAGTAGCTACAATTTAACCCAGTGATTGTTTCAAGTGCAATCTGGAATACGGTGGAAAATATATACTGGATCATTGAGGCACTTCTTAAGAAATCATTTCATCTCCAGTTTCTCTTGGAAAAAATAACTTGCCAGTAAAATGCAACTCCTTTGTAGATGAATTTGCGATTAGCGGAGGAAAGAAATAAAAACATGCCGTTTCTTCATCAATAAAAGGCATCGATTTGTGTTTGCTACCTACAGAATAATACAAGTTTATTATATTTTTCCTTCATCGTTGTACATTCTTGTTTCAGAGGCCTGACCTCCTTCAAGATAACCAGTGTCTTTGAGAAATGAAATCGACAGGGGAAAAAAGTGCACAATAATTCAAGTTCTGGATCAGGACTGTCATATTTACCCAGGGATGACAGGTGTACTAGAAAATTCTTTGTGGATGCAGGCACAGGATAAGCAAGCTTTTTTTCCTCAGGTATAAAGCCAGTAGCGCTGCCCCCCCCCCCAACACAAGGATTAAAAATAAAAATGGAGAGTGGTTTGAGGAAGACTACCACTGACTGACCTTGGGGGGATTTTTTTTCATATAATTTTGTACATTTTCTTTCTGTTCTTGTCTGCTTTGCAGTTCACCCAGTTCCCCCAAGATAATGTTTGTTTCCATCGCAAAAAAAGAGTCTTGCACAGGGTTCCTTGACCTGGCATGCAAGAGAGAAGCTGCGTACACTGCTGCCCCCCCCCCACCCCCACCCCACTTCCAGAAGTCAGTGTGATGTTTTTGTTTCCTTCCCTTCCAGGACGATCACAGGTGTGCAGACTGTCTGTTTTTCCTTCATACCGACTCCTCCGTCGTCAGCAACATGGGATTAATGTATTCGAATCCTTCGAATTCGGACTGGTCTATTCTCTTAATGACGTCCCTGTGGGGGGGGAATAAGGTGGGGGCGGGGTCATTCACAAACTCTTTATATAACATGACTACAAAAATATCAGAAATACATATTTACTTACTCTGGGTGTGTTTAAAAAGAGTAATTTTTACTATTTTAAAATATAAATAGGTAAGATGAGGTAGTTGCATATGTGGGTATTTTGGGATTCAGTGTTATAAACATCAGTGAATACGGTACTTAGGATCTATTTATCTCTGTATGCATTCACATGGGAAGAAAGAAAATTCTGCCCTATCTGTCGACTCTCACTGTGGGTAATCATCTGTAAATTAAGCTAAGTCCACTTGAAGTGGCTGTCGCGGTGAATGTACTGGTGCCACTCTTCCAAGAACACCAGGCCGGGCTTTCATCACCCACGGTACAGATGGCTGCTCGGCCCGCTCCACGACGTGGGCCGGGGGGGCTGTGTCACCGGAACGTGGGATATGCGCGGACTCACGTCACTCTGCCTGGAACCACTGGACGGGCAGCGCATCAGCGCCGCGGCCACACACACGTAGACCCACGCGCACACACACCCCCTTCGGCTGCCGCCCACCGGCTCGCCCTGCCAAACAATGCAGGAGACGGCGTTTCCATAATTACCGCCGTCAGGAGCGTGTGCGTGAAACGTGCCTGTCACAGCCGCTCGACGCGCAGCGCGAGTGACAACAAAAGGTATGGGAGGAGGAACCCCCCACCCCCCCATACGGACGGCCGAATGCGAGCTTCGCAAAGCGAGGTAATCAGGCCGTTACGAGGGAGGGAAACAACAAACACGGCACCCCAGTGCAGTGCGACGCGGGGACTGGGGGGGGGGGGGAACGCCAAGCTTTGGGATGTGACCAAAACAAACACAGCTCTCTGTTGCACAAATGTTTTTTTCCCCCCCATGTTAAAAGTGTTAGCAGATGCAGAGGGTTCTGTTGAGGGAGGGGGGTGAGGTTCTGGCGTGCTGGGTGTGGCGAGGCCGGGGGATGGCGGAGGGCAGCACACAGAGTCTCCTCGCATCCTGGGGGGGCGCCTGGGTTCACCGACAGGCATAAGGTGAGCTGGCAGAGGGCCCTCTACCCCCCCCGCCTCGTTTATCCACTGGAAAGAGCAGCCCAGTGCCTCGCAGTGTGGGGCTGCTGGCACCGGGTTCCCCCCCAAAACCCCCCTCGTGAGCCCCCCCTTGCGTTCTGGCAGGTTCCCCCCTCCTCTCATCATCCTGGCGTGACTCGCGGTGGGAGGAGCTGCCGGTGGCTTTGACATTGCACCTGTGTGGGCATCGGCGGGCTCGGCCTCTGGGATGTTAGCACGATAGCGGGACAGCTGTGCCTCATGCACCCCCCGAGCCGGGCGCCCCGCACTTTCCTGGCCCCGGACATTGGAGCTCGCCGTCACGGACCTATGAGGTCACGTCTGTGCCAGGAAAACACTTCATCTCCTTCTACCTATAACCTTGCAGGCACGGCATACGGAGGACAACTAAATCTTTAATAAGCCAGGGCCCCCCCTCCATCTTTTTACCCCCTTTCTTTCTTCCTCCGCCAAATCTGTCAAACAAAAGCGGGTTTACATCACCCCCCTGCCCGCCCCCCCCCCCGTTCTTCAGAAGTGTAGGACGACAACCTTTTCCAGAGCAAGGAGCTGCTTTGAAGTGTTTGGCTGCCACATCTTTTGAAGCCAGTTCGAAATCTCCCATCCAACTTCAAACCCACCATGCCGTTGGGTGGGGTGCGGGGGGGGGAGATGGGGTGCGGGGGTTGCAGTAAATTGCCGTTTGACACTGCGTGGTCTCGTAACAGAACACGCCTAAAGACTCGGGCTTCCGAGAAGATGGGCGACGGCATTCCTGTCAGTATCATTGTCGGTGGTATTTCTGGAATTAACTAGGTTGCCAAGGTCAGATTAAAAAGAAAAACACTCATTAATTGTCAGTATTACATTCCAAAAGACTCCTAACCTTCATATATTTGAATGCCCCCCCCCCACCAAGCCTGAGTAATATATGTGGGCCACTGTGACTGCGCTGACAGACAGTCCCCCAGCAGACAGTCTCTGCCTCGTCCCCGTGCTCCTCTCCTAATGCCAGCGTGTAAATCTCGGCCGGTTTGAAGTCATTCGGACTCCAGTTACAGCCAGACCTGAAAGGGCAGCGCCATCTGTGTAGCCCCTGCCAAACCTATTAGCTTATTCTTTCCAAGTTCATTTAGAACATGCGATCTCACAAAATTTGCTAGCGTGAGATCCCCGGGAGAGAAAAATGCGTCCACATTGATCAAGGATGGAATAATGGCCCGGACTGAATAACCAAGTCACTGAAAGGATCGAAGCAAACCTGCTTCTGTGTGCGTGTGTGTGTTTTTTTTTTTTATGCAGCTCTTTTGTGCGGCAAAACTTAAAAGACCAGCTGCAAAAACTCTCTAAATAAAGTGAGGAATATTCGATGAAAGCCTCAGGGGGTTGATGAAAGGAAAGGGGCCACAAACAGACCCCGAATTCAGCTGGGGGAAGCGGCGCGTCCATCTTCATTTTCCACACACTCCATTACCGAGCGACGGACGCGCGGGTACAGTAGGCTTGCCCAGCTCCAAAGGGTATTCTGCATTTTCAATGGCCTGTCGAGATGTCTGAGGAACGGATCAGAATAGGGCTCAGAAGGGAATGAATTTAGCGGCTCAATGGGCCCAGGACCACCCAGACTGTACATGTTTGGGGCCCCGTCTCCCTCCGGCAGAAATACGACTTCCTCGTGTTAAAACGGGACCCGCCATTTCACCCGGTAAAAGAGGCAGTATTTTCTCCACGTGGTCGCACGCTGTCCTCAGCACAATGCCGGGCCCGTATCCACAGAAGTTTACTCAGTATAAATACATGTCAGCGACATTCAAGTCTTTGTGCGTCACTGAAAGAGCACCACTGAGGTTTATACGTGTGGGATGTAGCGGCAGGCGTTAGGAACGCCGAAGGAGGCCGTCCTCGATGTGGAAAAGCGGTCTGGGATTTCACTGACGGATGATTCATCGACGTGACTTTGTGCCGGAGCTCGAGAGAGGGGGCCGCCTGGCGAGGCGGCCTGAAAAAAACCACACGCATCTGGCACACGGCGCCGTACATGACAGAGTGCGTTACATATGGCATAATGCGTTATACCACAGAGTATCACCCGGTAACTGGGTTCCATGTTGTCACCGGTGCCGTAGCCTGCATAGAAATTAAGTAACAAGACAGGAAATCCCTCTCTGTGTATTGGAGGGGTAGGGTGTGCCTGTGTTCTGGAAAATAAGGCCTGGGTATGGTTAGGGTGCTCATCCAGCCAAACGACATTTCAGTAACGAGGTACATACTGCATTTAAAGAGCAACAATTGGCCTGCAAAGGCTTTAGGGAATATTGACCTATTGGATGTGACACCCAGGGAAAATAGGGGAAAATCTTGCACGCTGTGTTATTGTTTGGTAGGATCGTGGATTTATTTTGTACCTGCCTGGCTAAACAATGGGGATTTAGACACACGGCGAGATGCACTCCGCCGGGATCGCGACTAACGGGTGTTTCGATGACGGCCATGGATTAGTCACGAGGGCGATGCAGTCATCACCGCAGACTGGTGAGGGAGGCATCGGCAAACACTTACTCATCGTCAGGAGTTAGCTGCACAGGCTCGTTGGTAAACTGAGTGTCGAAGTTATCTAGGCCGTAGTCGTCCGTGATCTGCGGCTTGAAGGGAGGGGTCACCTGTTTCTTCTCCAGCTGAGATGGGGGGAGGTGCGGGGGAGAGAAAATGAAGCATCTTTAAACAAGCATGACAGGAAGGACGCAACGGACGCTTTTGTCCGAGCTGAGGAGCGTGACGTTCCATCGCACACGTTTCTACATTCGAACAGCTGGATTGTTCACGAAATGATATATCGTCATTCGCTCTCTCCTTTCATGGCCGCCGCATTGTGTTGGCTGAAATTCCTGCTCACTATTAATAAGGCAAAGCACCATGCCTTTGTGCATGTACAAAGCCAAACCGAGGCGGCAGGACTGCATGCTAATTTTGTCATTAATATTGCCTCTCCTGCTGTCCTTCATTCAAAATCCAAAAATTAATTACAGCCACCTGTTACAGAACGCGATTAAGCCACGATTCTTCCTGGACCCATCGAGTCAGAGGGAGATCATCGGCGGCAAACAAAATGAACAGCGCTGGGCTTGTTTTTGTGTGCATGTGTGTGTTTGTGCATCTGTGTGCATTTTACAGGTTCGTTTTAACATCAACACTGACTCACGGCTGCTCAAACCCAAATCAGAAACCCAGAATTCAGAGGTGACAGAATGCAGCTGGCACTTCGGCCAAACGGTGAGCTAATTTCACTGCATTTCTGTATAATTTCCTGTGTCATACAAAGAAAGTAAAAAAAAAAGAAATGGATGGAAAAGTTAAGTGCGGCAGGAGGAACAGTGAAAGAGTCAAACAAACAGAAAAACAGGCTGTTTAAAGCGAGAAAGGCAGCTTGTAGCCTAGGAAGCCGTACAGACGGAGAGGGGAGTAGAGGAGGTGCTGCAGGGACTTTCATTACTGATTCAGAGGAGGCCCGGGAGCCAGGAGCCGCGTGGGGTTTGTACCGCGCGCTCTCACACGATTTCCCTTTGCTGTTCAAGATCTTAAGGGTCCTGGCGGGTAACTGCAAAGTCCCGGCAGCACATAAAGACTCACAGAAGCAGACAGACTGGTTTATTAACCTCAGCCAGCAGAAGCGGCTGCACCACACTTATCTGTGTTCTGCTGTGATCCCCCACCCCCCGCTTGTTAAAGGAACGAATGGCAAGTGTCTTAGGAGTGAAAAGAGAGCTTCCATGCATTCTTGTTTGCCAATCTGAAGGTCACATGGTCACATGTCAACATACTACTTAAAGAATGAAAATTCATGTGGCTTCTAGTTTTATATGCGTAATATATATTATTATTCTGGTGATAGATGCTAGAGCAGGGGTGTCAAACTGCAGTCCTGGGGGGCCGGAGCCCTGTGTAGCTTAGTTCTTTCCCTGTTCCACCATAAATGATTCAGCTCAAGAGCGACGTGGTAATTAGCACAAGCAGTTGAATCAGGTGTGTTAAATGAGGGGAAACCCAAAAATGTGCAGGGGCTCCGGCCCCCCAGGACTGGAGTTGGACACCCTATTTATCCTTTTAAGATATTCTTTATTGATCCTAGAGGGAGAGTCTTTTGCATACAGCAGCACATTATATTATGTGGAGAGACGCAAAGACATACATTTTCTGCATATTGCAAACAAACACTTGTATATTACAACAACCCTTGAGAGGATACACAGGGGGATTAGTGGATATAATAAGCTTATTGCATATTAAACCTGATAACATGGTGACCTGACATTAAAAGCTGCTACAAACGTGAGCCTTAGCTGTTTTAAATACATTAGCCGTCTAATGCACGGATTCCGTCGGGCATGAGCACAGCATTCTGGGTAATCCTAATCGAGTATCTCCTGTCTGAATGCGTCTTGCACACCTGTGCGCGGCTCTCGCAGAGGAAGGAGAGCTGCGTCCTGTGGCTGCGGCGAGTTAAGTGTCTCCAGTGATCAGGTGCCACGCGTGATCATTTTCTCCCCATGCTCATTTTCTGCGGTGGAGCTGAAATTAGCGCATAATCGTCTTCATAAACACCCAGGTGGGGCTGGGGGGGGGGGGCTTTAGCAACCGTCTGGGAAGAAGGCCACTTCAGACATCTCCAGACTGCTAATTCGCTTCCTCCGCGCGACGCGGCGTGCCGTGATGAACGCGCACGCACAACCTTCGCGTCCCGCGTTGGAGCGCCGGGAGCTTCCTGCCACGTTCCAGATGTCGCTGGGGATGTTAATCTCTGCGTCCGTGTGCCGCCGTGGCGCTGGGGATTTTTAGCACTTTGCTAAATGCTCTCGGTGTCCATGTTTGGCCGCGACGGGCCCTTTCACTCTCACGTCTCTCAAATTCGTGTTCCCCACTGTTACAAACGGCCGCATGTTGATTGCCGTGAATTTCAGTAACACTGGGGGGCTGCATCTGGTGATATTTTATTCCTTCCTGAACTGCTAGATGAAACAATATTGTCATAACTGATATACTATTTTAACATGAGCTTGTAGCTCAATTGCACTTATTAATGGGGCTAATGGTTGTGGTTACTGAGTGCAGTGGAGAGAAATGGTTCGTGATGCCGATGTGACACCTGCATGAGGAACCTGAGCTGTCTAGCAGCACATCTGCATCCTTTCTGGGCTTATTCCTTGCTGAGGCACGAATGCCTGAGGGG